AAAAAAAAAGGATAAAATGTGTGGTCGTAAAGTTGAAAAAAAATTGTGCGTTCCATAAAATTTGTATTTGAAAATAGATTAGAGAAAAAATGAGAGCCAAATAGGGACTTAATATGATTAGTATATTATTTGCACAATTATTTTACCCTTTAACGTTTACCATAACATGGTGCTTCATTATATACCCAACCTTGGTCCATTGTCGGTGAACATGAGAATGAGGATGCGACTATCTAGAACATCGTCAAAGTCGTAGAGAAGTAACAATGTGAGACATGTAACTCACCATTTTGAACTCGATATCGAACAAAATAAGAGTCAATTGTCCCATGTTTCATGCCCGAAGTGAAGACATTATTAGCACAGGAATACGTAGCACCAAAATTATGACGTTAATGCCAACTCATCATTTTCAAACCAAGTACAACTTTTTGCCTTTTCATTTTTCTTTGCTATTTTCTCTTTATTTATCTACTTTTACTTATATGAAAGCGCAGATACAATTGTCTCTTTTTTTCCAACTAAAATCTCCGTTGACATGTGTGACATGTTATTTTTTCGAGCACCGCTTGGACAAAATTAGTATTTGAGGACCCACTTGCCACCAAAATTAAGATGAAATTCAATCACACATTTAGTAATAAGTTAAAAACATAGAAAAGGAATTAACCTACTTTCTTTATTCTCAATTGGGGTGATGTAAGAAATTCACTTTATATTCATTGGACAAAAATCAAAATAATTAAATAAGTACTTATTCTACACATAGATCATCCAACCCCAACCACAAGAATGTGCTCATCCAGTTGTTCTCTATTGAGAATTCCTATCAAGAAAAAGATCTTGTAATCTTTCAAGATTTAAACAGCAATATTATATTTCACCAAGGTCCCCAAAGGACCAAATTGGAAATTAATTTTTCAGAATGCAATAATTTTAAATATTTTCTCTCTCCTTTCTAGTCCTAGGTTTTTTATTTTATTGAAATTAAATAAAACGTATTTCTATTATCCTTTACACGTTCCGTAATGCTATTGGATATAGATAAAAAAAAGTTATCTAGTGAATTTTTTAATCTTCGAGAAATCCCAAATTGTTTTTTAATAATATAGTAATTTACAGCTTGCAGATTACTAATAATAATTTTGATACAACGACCACGTTCCTTTGGCAATAGTTAGGGTTAAAGCATGAGGAGAGGATCCAACTCTCTCTCTCTCTCTCTCTCTCTCTCTCTCTCTCTTACACACACACACACACACACACAAGCCAAAAACATAAATTATTGGAAAATTATGTAAATTACTTTTAGAAAGTTAACTTGTCGTGCTTATGATACAAAGAAACTATAGAGACGTGTTTGATTAGAATGGAAAAGAAAAAGAAAATAGTGTTTTCCTCAAAAAAAGGAAAACAATGCGTATTTTCAGTGGTTGGTTGGAAAATCTTTTTCATAAAAAATGAAGACAATGAAACACTCCAAAGTTGAAATTTGGGTGAAAAATGCCATTTTTCATAGAAAATTTTCTAATTAAACGCACCCTTAGAGTAATCGAGGTTATATCACGATTTCAAGTTGGTTATTAAGCTTCATTATGTCACAATCGAGTCATTGGACTAAAATTTTGTTTCATCAAGCTACATTTCCTGAATGTCATTCTTTAATGTACTCATTAAACTGGAGAGGTTATATCACGATTTCAAGTAGGTTATTAAGCTTCATTATGTCACAATCGAGTCATTGGACTAAAATTTTGTTTCATCAAGCTACATTTCCTGAATGTCATTCTTTAATGTACTCATTAAACTGGATAATTTGACGATATGGCTACAATACTATACAAGTCAATACGCACGATGCCTTGGTGTGTTCACCAAAGTGAAAAAAGAAATTTATTGTAGATGAAATGCTGCAAGAAAGAACAACAAACAAAATGAAATTTCCTAGCCCAATTGCAAACTTCAATATAATGAGAACACGAACGTGGCTCTCGAATATTTTAAATGCTAGGTATTGTCTGGAGAAAATCTCACATAATGCAGCAAAAACGGATTAAAAGAAATAAATAAAATCACAGGAGTAAGGGGGGGGGGGGGATACAATTTTAACATGGTTCAACAAACTGCTTACAACCAAAGAAATGACTTTTATTAGTTAAAATAATCTTAGGATATAATATTTTCTCCTCTCAACTCCCTGTACAAAACTAGAACTTCAAATATGCGTGTACAATTTTTCTTTAGTTTATATCTCTACATTTTTTTAAATCTAACCTCTCATAATATGTAGACCTAGGAGCAGTTTGATTTGGATCAATTTCGACTCTAACCCAAAACCAAAATCAAATTAGTCAGGTTGGACAAGTTTTAACCCAAATCAACCCACTCTAACTCTTAATCGAACCAAACCAAACTAAATCGGTTTGATTCGGTTTGGACTTTTAGTCCAAATTGAATTTAAAAAAAAAAAAAAAAAGAATTTGTTTGTGTTTTGGGCCCACTTGAATTACAAGAACTAAAATAACCAAATAATTTTTTATTACAAGATCTATTGGCTAACAAATAAAATTAGATTAATAGAGACGGATCAACAGAAAACTTAAGAATTTTTTATTTTTTTTATGTATTATGTAGTCTAGTTGCCTAAGTAGGGAAAAAGTGCTAAGTATAACATAGCTAGCTTGTGAAAGGAAATTTTCAGTGATATTACTTACTGACAACATTATATATTGAAGAGAACCGAGATATATTCATGAAATTAGGGATTATCTTTTGATTTTTATTTTTCTTAAATTGAAAAATGGTAAACATGTAAGTGGATTGGGTTGATTCTGTTAACCAATGGTTTAAAATTTCAAATCATGATCGAATCAACTCACCATGATTTTTTTAAAAAGAAAACCTAACCAAACTTATCACTTGTGTCGAATCGATCCAAAGTGGTTCTATTTGATTGGTTTGATTGATAGTTCAGGATTTTTTATATTTTTTATTTTATTTTATTTTATTTTATTTTTGGTTCTAGGCCAATAATAGGGATGCACATTATTCTCCGCTCGAGTTCATATCACCCCTGGTGCCAAATACAGTTCTTCTCTACACAATACCATGAATTTATAAAAAAAGACTTTTGAACTCTTTTGGTAAGTTTTCTCCTCCTATTCAAATATTGTTTCTTTGCTAATTTGATTGTCTTTTGATCTTTGTGCCATGAATTTGGACCAATCTTTAGTGACATGAAGGCTACCAAAAGGTCCAAAACAATGAATCTAAAGCTTAAACTTCTTCTCTACACAATACCATGAATTTATAAAAAAAGACTTTTGAACTCTTTTGGTAAGTTTTCTCCTCCTATTCAAATATTGTTTCTTTGCTAATTTGATTGTCTTTTGATCTTTGTGCCATGAATTTGGACCAATCTTTAGTGACATGAAGGCTACCAAAAGGTCCAAAACAATGAATCTAAAGCTTAAACCAGGTCATAAAGGTACAAAGTCAATTTAAATAGGTGAAATTATTATTATTATTTTTTTTGGTGGGGGAAAGGTAATAGTTTATTTTTTTAATGGAAAAAATATATTTACTGCCTAAACCATAATATGAACATTTCTAGAAATGTATTCAGTCAAAAAAAATGAACTAAAAGTTTCTTCTCCAGAAGATTAATAATTATTTTAAAGAAATGCTATATACAACTAAAGATTGAATCAGAAGGTAATCAAGATTCAAGTAACACTTTGTGGAAAATGGAAATTTATTCTAATTTTGTAAAGAAAATTGTCAAATTTATTTTACTATTTTTGTTCCAAGAACTATTCTCCAACTGTCAGTGATCTATACGTTTAGACGAAAATATCAAATTTCTAAACCACTTTTTCAAAACCCTCTGTCCAATCAGAGTGGTTTCTGAGACTCCGAGGTACCCCTTTTCTTTACTCTCTCGAGTACATAATTATAGTACTCGCTCTATCCGTAACATTAGGAGATTGAAACTGCGTATTTTAGCAAGTCAATGCTCCTTGTTTGATTTGGTCTGACAGTTGGACAAATTCTGTGGCGAGTAGGGTTTTTGTACAGTGAAACCACTAAACCGCTCCATGTTTTGAAAACTACTTTCTGCTTTCCACGTAAAGCTAAGAATTGCTTCGGAAACACTCCCAGCTCCAGAAATATTTCCCAAAACCTTTTTTCTCTCACACACAAACACGCACTAGTCTTCGATCAAAACCCGAAGTAGTAAGATCTTTTGGCTCTCTGTTTAATCCTTTTGTTTTTGTAAATTTCTGAGAGTGGGATTTGATTAAATCCCTCTAGTTTGATTACTGTGTTCGATCTATTTGTATAGCAGATCCAAAAAAAAAAAAATGGGAAGAGGGAAGATTGTGATCCGTAGGATCGACAATTCCACGAGCAGGCAAGTCACTTTCTCGAAGAGAAGAACTGGGCTGCTGAAGAAGGCTAAGGAGCTTTCAATTCTTTGTGATGCACAAGTTGGATTGATTATTTTCTCTAGCACTGGAAAGCTCTATGATTTTGCAAGCACCGGGTAATTAATTTGATTATAAGTACTCTTTTTTTCTTTCAAATTGCTTAATTATAATTATTCTCTCCTGATTTTATGCAAATAAGTTACTACATTATATTGTTTATCTTCCTTAACTTGATTTTTTCTCAATGATTTTATGCAGTAGATAAGGGTTTTTTATGGTGGAAAAATAACTTAAGATCCAAACTTTTCTGTAAAAATAATAAAGAAATAATCCATCCATTTTCATGCATGCATGTGTTTTTGTATCCATGTTTTCTTATTATGATTCGAAAATATGTAGCTGATCTTATTAATTAATATATAAGATTGAATCATATAATGGAGTAGTCAAAAGTTTCTGAGCAAAAGATATTGCGATGCACCTATATTGCTTGGAAAAACAATTTTTTTTTTTCCTTTTAATATTATGCTCTCTGTGGCTTCTATCAGTTCACATGCTCGTGTTTCGTGCCCGTGTTCGCGTTCGTGTTTGTGTTCGTGTTCGTTGTTGTCATAAAATCTATTGATAATGAAGTGGGCCTTCAGATAATTACTTTACTGATAGAAAAAGAATTTTGAGAGTAGTACACAAAATCACTGTTCTTTTATATATCTTTTGAGTAAGTTTTGCAGCTTTCATCGATATCTACATGGAAAACATATTATCCTTAAGCGTATTGATTTGATCCGAATGAGGTTTAATTAGTACCTGGCCATGTTAATCACTATTTACAATTTCCAAATAATAAATTTAAAAAGAAACAAAATTAATCAAATTCGAATATTTACAAGTAGTTAAAACTTTGTCAACAATGTTGAAGTATAGGTTAACTTAGAAGCAAGCGTGGGCTCAGAAATAAATCAAACAATCATTCCTACAAAATTGGTAGAAGAGAAAAGTTCAGGCCGTGGTTGGTTTGCCATTTTCGGCCCATTTTTCGTTTTCGAAAACGCGAAAAACGCGTTTAGTTCGTCATTTTCGAAACCAAGTTAAAATTTATAATTGAAAACGCAAAATCACTTTTTATCGTTTTCAGCGTTTTCAGTTATAAATGTCGAAAACGCTTAAAAGGCGGAAAACGGGCCGTTTTCGGGAAAAACTAAAAATCGTTTTGAAAATGAAAATGCAAACCAACAACTACCTTATTTTCTCGTACAAGGTGTGTTTCTTAATCAACTTGCTTTTCTTATTCAACCTGCTTTTTTCTTCATACAGCTTATAATTTTATTCACTTGAACGAATCTAAAACTCCAATTTGTACAAGTTTAGATTTGATGTCCCAAACTAGTTGTCTTTCTAAAAAATTTTCTACTTTGTTAAGTCGAAATGGGAAGATATTGAGGTGTTGGCACTTTCTTATTTATTAAGAAGAGGTGATGTGTTGATTCGTCAAAAATGTATTGAAATGACATTTAATTTGACAAGAACTTTGGGATAAAACAAAGAGAGTGTTCATCGAAACTAGAGCTGAGGCATAACAAAACTATTGCTTCTCTTCGTACCATCGCACAACAAGCATAGAAAACTTTGTTTCTTCTGGACAATTTTTTTTTCAATTATTTGATCTTCAATGTTTTTTCAAGTTTTCAAGTGTCTACTTGTGTTCTTTCATTTGTTGCAATTGACGCTCATTTTTCTTCTCACCTTATAATTTAAACATAAGTTAGAATTTTTCTTTGCAGGGAATTGGGATTCTATCTCATAAAGTTAACTCACTACGTGAAGTAGTTCAATTATTTATAAACCCAACATATACCCGCATGTCTAGTTGATATGAGATTTTGTTTTCACTTTTTCGACAATGCTCCCTCGGTTAATGAAGCAACTAGGAAGGAATAAAGACCAAATTCTTCCACATACAACAACATTTCGGGAATTTATCTTGTGCATCCATATATATGGCTAAGTTTGGGGCCTAGATCTCATACTAGTTGGGAATTAGGATCCGATCTAAAAGGTTAACTCGATAGGTGAAGTAATTGAATCCCTTACAAGCCCATCATTACATCATGTCTAGTCGACATAGGAATTAATTGTTTGCACCTTTCCTCAAAAGATGAATCCTTGTGATACCTAAACCTTTATATGTTCAATATACATTATCCTTCCTCTCGGTCTCTGTAATTCTTTATTTTTTTTTCCCGAGTTTCACCATGAATCTGCAATTCCTTTTGATTAATTTCGGCCCCCTTTTTCTCAAGCTTATCTTCATGAATTTACAAACTTACCTTTAGCAACTCCAAATTGTCTATTTTCCTCTATAACTTTCAGTTTTGCCTCAGTTACACTCTTTCTCCTTAAGCATGTTATTGACTTGTTTACCGATGCCTAGCCAAAAAAAAAAAAAAAAAAGAAAAGACTTTCTTAATTTATGCTTGTATATATATTAAGAGCATCCTATTTAATATGTACGTATCATAATAAAAGATTGGAAAATACAATTTTTTATAAAAGGTGAAGCTTTGTCGCTCATTTATAAGAGGGACGGAACAAAATTTTTTGCCCGTGTGTTTAAATCTGATTTTGTAACTCATTTATCGTGGATTTGAAGGCCTATTTATTGGCTTTCCATGAAGAGTAAATGTTATATAAACTAAGAAATGATGAATTTATTTATTTATTTCTTCGATAATTAGCCACTTATGCATGTGTAACAACCGCTTTGACTATGCTTCAAAAGAAGAAAAAATCACGTTTGACTAAAATTAACAAGCTTGTAAAGAGATGATGTTCAAAGTGCTCAGAACGCCACGAGGCAAGCATTTCATGAGCCAAAAGAGAGAAGATTCAAGATTACACTACCCTCCTCTTCAAAAACGACATCTACGACGACCCATCTTTCTGAGCTAGATTCTAAGAAGGGACGTTTGTTCTGATGTTAATTGTAATGGTCGATTTTGTTGAAACCACTCTTCAAACGGACTTGTAAAGAGACATGCTCAAAAGAGCTTTATATTTATATTCACGAGGAAAGTAGACATAGAATGCAAGAGTTTATTCTCAATTGTCCTTTCTTTCATTCTCGTCTTCAAAACTTTCTAAATAAAACCCTCCCTTTTTTTCTGACTTATTTTCTGAAAATCTGTTGCTATTCTTGTCTTATCAGCATGAAATCTTTAATTGAAAGATTCAATAAAGCGAAAGAGGAGCATTCCCAAATGCCAAATTCTACTTCAGATATCAAGGTACTTAATTTCGGTCAATAATTACTTATTCATCTCTTCATTTTTTTTCTGCATGAGAATTCTAAAATAAGCAATTCTCAGTGGCATGTAGTTGAGTAGTTCTTCTTTTTAATTAGTTTTCTTCATTGATTCTTCTGTTAACACCACAAATTTTTAAGTATTCGATTTGTCAAAAATTTCTGTGTTTGCTTTGCTATGTTCCGTTCGTTCCATCAATTACTTTGAAAATAATTAACATACTTATTACAAAGTAAGAGTAAAGCATTTCTTAGCATTTAGCAATACATATAAAAATAAGGGTAATGCTATATATACATCAACGTGTCGATGACGGTGTTCACCTCCTCACATGAAGAGGAGTTAGTATGACTCAACATCAAAAGCGTAAATTTTTTATCATAGTCACACTACTTTAATAACAAAAATTGCCCAAGCCTATGTTAGGCAGAGATTAAATCAAATTAAAATCTTTAGTCAAAATTGATAATTAATTTTAACCACATATTTTATAGATCCTCAACTTTTTAAAAATATATATAATGAACTTTTATTAAAATATATTAAAATTTTGATTTTAATCTATACCAAACAAGAGCTAAACGCCTACGAACATAGCACATGCAAGACATTTGAAACACTATTTTGATGGGAAGGGTTGTAAACGCGAAATAAATTTCATAAAAATGAATAAAAGAAATAGGAGAGGAAAAAAGGAATAAGTAAAGACAAACCAAAAAAGAAATGTTGTGTAGATTAGGATTTGTGTCAATTGGTAGCAGAAAAAAAAATGGGAGTAATTACCCCTCCAAAAATCTAGTTTTAACATTTTTTTGCAGCGCTGGGGTGCACCAGGGGCCGAGCCAATTTGAGCTAGGGCCGGTTAGGGTTGCAGAAAGACACTCTAAATGCAAAATACTCTCTATTTTAGAGAGTTGTTGCTTAAAAATAATTTTCAAGGGGCTATTTTAACTTTTTGAAATAAAAATGTGTACACCCACTCGCAATTTTTAATTAATAAGGGCTGCATTTAATAAATTGCAAATTTTAATACTCTACAATTCAAATTATTCAGATCACGTTTGAGTTGATTGACCATTAACATATAAAAAAATTATCTTAAATAAGAGATGAGGAGAAATTAATATATGTTCATTGAAAAAAAAACAAAATCAATAAATGTTTATCTAAAAAATAAATAAATAGTCAAAATAAAAAAGCTTTGTTGAAGTGCATAAAAAAATTTATATTCTAAATTTAAAAATACTCTCTATTATGTATAAGATACTCTTTATAAATAGAGACTACTTTGAAAATGCTCTTACTTCTTCTTCTTCTTTATTATTATTATTATTATTATTATTATTATTATTATTATTATTATTTTGGGGTCTAACTCAACACTTAGTTTATCTAACAATAAACCTAATCGAAATTATAAGAGTTTTTTAGCCTCAAAATGGTTCAATTTAGGCTCCCAAGACAAAGAGCATTTTTAAAAATCTCTTTAGAAGTGAAATACTCTATATTTTAATGAGTAACATAGGGTTATCAATGAATTGAATTTCATTTCGAATTCGATCTGGATCAAATACGATTAATGAGAAATGAATTTATGGTTACAGTTCAATAACCCGATAAAGATTCGAATCAAATAATTCATTAATTAAATAAATCAAATATAAATATAAATATAGGTCAATCCGATTCGATAACAGTCCCAATAATATAATAAATTTTATATATTAGCGCATAATTTATTACACATAATTTTTTTTTTCATTTTGAAACTTGTATTATACTTCATGATTGTTAATGAAGAATATCAAACGATCAAATTTCAATATAAAATTAATATATATTACAATAAATTTTGTATTGAGATTGAGAATTTCCTATTTCCAATTTAAAAAAAGGAAAAAGAATGCGTAAAATATTTCCAATTGAATTATTCGCAAATTGAATATGAATTTAATAATTAAATATCCGTTGAATTATTGGATCAAATTGAATGTGGACAGATTCAATCTATATCCAATACATTTATAGCTCTAATCTAATAGATTCAATATATATCCGATCCATTTATAGCCTAATCTAACTCTTAAATTTATACTCCAAAAGACTCTTCAACTCAACATTTTAAAATAGAAAGTAAATTTAACTCTTCAAATAAGGAGAGCTAAATCCACTCACCATAATTAAATGCAGTCAAAATATTTCCAATATTCAATGTTCAATATATTGACACAATTAAATGATATGGACAAAGAAAATGGAGGAAAATGGTATAATAGTTTGAAGGTAATCTACTGTAAATAAAAAGATAGAAAAAAATAGAAAATACATATTGAGAGTAGTAAAATTAATCATTAAAAATAATTGTTTTAGTATTTTGTAAAATATGCTCTTTAAAAATAAATAATCTCTTAAAGATACTCTAAAGGCTTGTTTGAAAGCTTGAGTTTTCCATAGAAAATGAAAATTTCCACCAAAATTGAGTATTTGATCGCAAACTTTTCCATGAAAAACTTTTTCCATCTTTTCCCCCATACGTGCATTTTCCATGAATTGGTGGAAAACCAATCCTCACTAAACTATATTTTTATTTTTTAAAATTTTCAGCAATAAGAACAAATTTTATCCACAATTGTAAATAATTATATCCCTTTAATTGATAATTTTCATGAAAAATAAAGTCAAACGAATACCAAAAGATCCCAAATTTCAAAAATTTCCAGGTAAAAAATTATACAAATCAAACACGTTCAATTGACAATTATCAGAAAAACAAGTTCTAGACAATTCAATTTCCCCGAAATTTATTTTTTAACTCAAATTCCATTCTTGCAATCAAAGAGACTCATTTGACAAGATTTTTTGATAATTCAAAATCTATTTTTGACCATACTTAAATAATATACTGAAAGCCTTTTGTCTGATATAATTTTTTTTTAAAGAAAATTGATTTAAAATAACTTCCCTAGGAAGCTCTTACAACATGCAACGTCAGTGACTGCACTTAACCTACTTTCATTCGACTTGTTCTATATTGTTAATTATCCATTTACTCTGCCGCCATACTAAGAATTTGAAGAGAGATTTTTCCTTTTCTATTCATTTTTTCTCCTTTTTTTCCCTTAAACTTTTCTTTCTTCTTTATACTGTGAAGAATTCCTAAACATTGCATGGGAACAGGTTCATCTTCAAAGTATTTTTTTCTTTTTGGTATAGAAAACATTTGGATGGAATTTTTTTACCATCTAGTTATGACTACCATAAAATGTTGAGGACAAACTTGCTTTTTAAAATATAAAAGACTAATCTATGATTTCACATATTTCTCCTTGTATATTTATTCATTGAATGGTTTTGTTAAGCCTCTTTCTGGAAGGTCTAAAGGAATAGTAATCTTCGTTTATAAGAAAAAAGATTCAACGAGAATCAAGAACATAAATTGCTATAAAATGACCCAATATCTGATAATGGTAATAATATCAATAAAAGAACGTTTTCATGTGCTTGAAGACATGCTCAACTCCATGTTTGTATCAATTCTGTAAAAGAGAAGATTAGCACAAGCCAATCACTGAAATTTCAACCTCGATAGGATCATCAATCTTGTACTGACAACGTTTTTAAAGTCTATCGAACTAGTAACTATCCTTCGTAGAAAAAGTTAGGGCAAGATGAGTCGTCATCATTAAGATAGGTGTCAAGTAAAAGTACACTGATATATACAATTGAAGTATCCTAATATGCTAGACTTGTACCTTATTCAACGAACTCATCATTTTGATAGTAACTCGTCATTAATTTTCATTGTCCTATTTGATGACATGAAAAATTACTATTTAAAGAACTCTTTTAACAAGAAGAAAAATAAAAGCTGTACCGTCCCTTTAAATACGCATATCAAATGAGGAATAGAGTACCTAAAGCTCTACCTTAAAATAAATTTTGTTGGTCGATAATGTTTTCATAAGTATATCATTAGTTAGGAAGTACTTATAAACCTTCGAAATTATGAAGGAAAAAGAAAATTTTGAAAACTTAATACTACAAAATTACTTCAATTAATTCACATGTAATTTTTGAGATGAGGGCACAGGATAGAGAGGCTTACCCATTATAATTCATCCATTAATTTAAAAGCCTTAATACATATTTTAGAGACTATTGCTAGCTGTGAAAGTGTCATTATGCCTTAATCTAATGTAGTAAGATGATCGAGTTAACTAAGGTAAAACAATCAATCAGATAGAATATAGTTGTCTACTCATGTTCAAGAATTATGGAGGGTTTGTGTTGCTATCATGCCTCTGCAAGCTTGAGCATCTGTCAAGGAGGCTAATCTTGGAGCTATTAAGATGAATAAAGGTGAATAATTTTCAACATGCAAGGGTTTGGACTATTAAAGGATAAATCTTACATCATTTAAATATGAATAATTCTTGACATACCAGGATTTAGAGTACTCATCTTAACAAAGTTGACTATTTAAGTCGAATTTTAAGATTAAAGTTCCCAAACAAGTGACCATTTTGTGGGAACGTATTAATGGAAAACGTGTAATTAAAAATAATTTTTAGAAATGAGTTTTAAACAAATCCATATTTTATTAAAATAACGTATGATTAAAAATAAAGATGAAATCAAAAACCAATATATAAGAGTTTAGATTACTCCTCTTAATAATGTTAACTTTTTAAAGATAATACCTCTAAGTCTTAATATGAGCAAGCTATGGCCCTTTCTCATGGGAGGGGTTTGAAAGAACTGTGTGCAAGATAGCAACATCACGAGTCCTCAAGCTCTTCTAAGTACATGAGAGACAAAGTTAGTTTTTGAAGGATTAGTCATGGATGAAATGGAGGTCAATAGCAACATGGTTCAAGCATGAGTAGAAAGCAAGGTTGGCATTTAAATGCATAGCTCCCACATTGTCGCGAAAAATAGTAGGGATGGAGGGAACTATGATTTGAAGTTAGAAGAGTAAGTTG